AGGCCCTGGCTCTGGATATCTCGGGTCTACCAGTTCTTGTTTAAAACCCCGGGGAGCGTGGGGAACCAGAGGCTCTGAAAGGTGGCGCTGATACATTGGCCTCCCGTCACGGATGGCGGGGTGGTATGGCGTGTTTGCGGTCTTCTTTGGAGGAAGGAAAGACAGGCAGGGATCCGACAACTGCCGCTGGAACCTGAAGTGTGGAAAGAAGTGGATGTTTAAAGGTTTGAAGCTCATTCGCTTCCAGCTTAAACCGCGCGCGTGCGTGTGTATATATATAGATTTTTTTTTTTTTTTAAATCTTACCTTTGTTCTGCATTGAACGACACACTGGAAGAGCCGATGGGAGGATGTGGCATAGCAAACTGCTGGCTTTGATTGGCCTGTGGAAGGTTGCGGAGGTGGGAGGGGCTAAGGGCAGGAGTGTGGTTTGGGGAGCAGTTGTTGGTCAGCTGAGGGGTAGATGGCTGTAACTGCCTCTGTAAAGGTGGAGGTCCAGTAGGGTGGATGGAGCCACGTTGTTGTACTGCAGGTGTGGAGGATGGAGTCGGAGCGGGCTCACAGGCACTAAGGAGACCAGATAAAAACACATCATCCAAAAGTTCTGTCTGCCAGGTGTGTGGTGGTGGTAGTATTGCAGTATATCACACACAGGTTTAAAAACATGAATGGTTACCTGTAGCTGTAAAGGCACATGTCAGCCTGAGGCGTTCTGCAGGGAGAGAAGTCTTTGGACGGACTGGGTTCACGCTTCACTTTGCTCGCGGCCAGTCCATGAAACATCACTGCAAAAAACACACAGGCAAATAATACATACATGTTTGCAGAGCATGGAATGAACACCCTTACATTAGATGGCCAAGTGGACTGCTTCAAAGATTAGTCTTTAAAAAACAAAACAAAAAAACAACAACTTTCCTTTCTGATAAAGCTCATAGTTCAGGCAGAATCAGGTGATAAGCTTAGGCTACGCAGGGCTTCCCATGATGCAGTGTTCTACTCAACACAGCGTCTCTGTACAACACTTTGCATTTCCACAGTGTCTCGTCTGTCCTGTTGCCCTCCCCTCAACCCCAATGCCTCAGTGCAGATGGCCACCCCTCCTCAAGTTTGATTCTGCTGGAGGTTTCTTCCTGTTAAAAGAGAGTTTCTACTTCCCACTGTCACCAAGTGCTTGCTCACAGGGGGTCATCTAATTGTTGATTTTCCCCCACCTGTGTTACTTCAGTTCTTTAACTTCCAATATCCTAGAAATATATATATATTTCCCCCCTGGTATTACAAGTATATGAACATCAGTCAGTCTTTATCTCAAAACTGTGTTTTTTGCTGTCTCAAATGAGTAAAATTGAAGGTTCTGTCCCTATTCAATGCCAAGGCATTTTAATTGACTTCATCATCATCAGTTCATCTTTTGCACAGTTACACAAGTCTCACACTCCTAATTTGCCTCCAACTGCCTAGTGTTGGATCCCTGGTGAGCGTAATGGTTAGACAGTTAGGATTACGCAACATTACCTCTGGGAACACTGGTTGGGAAAATAATGCGTTTGTTGAAGCAGCACTTCCATTACCAAAACACACTCGAGACCTATTAAATGGCAGCTTTGGTGGAAACATTTGCCTGCTCGTGTGGCAGAACGGCTTCAGATCCAAATTAGAGTTTACCGCCAGCGTTTCAGACCCTGAATATTTCCCTCCTAACTCTTATCTGCTCATGTTGATAATTTAGTAGCAATGATACCTCACATTAAATAGACAAGCTCTGCACATCTTTAAGTTGCACTCTTCCAGTTTGCAATGCAGGCTTGCCATTTAGCATAAAGTTTTTCCTTTATCGTCCCTTTCAGCGTTTGCTCCCCACTCCTGCGTCTGTGAAAGAAAGGAAACCTACCCCTATCTGATCTGAGCTTTCCAGGAATCTGTAGAGATTCTCATCAGTATGCTGCACCGATGACGCCAGGCCGCTAATGTTTCCATCCACGACACGGTCTCCGTCAGCTTTATTGTCCGCACGGGGAGTCGTTGTGTTGAAGCAGCTATGATTACGGCAACAATAAGTATATGCAATACGTGTTTGGCAGGAGCACTAAACGCACCATTTCCTCATCGCCCACGTTATCTGTAACACTTTTAAGTACAGTACTTTTTTTTTTTATCTCGCCTCATTTCCTCTGTTACATGACGACTATCATTTAACTGGCAAAGCTCCAAGGTGAATGGAAACACCAAGGAATGAGAGCACTGTAAACAACTGGTTTTACACCAATGACCTTTGAGATCACGAGTCACAATCTGGTAAGTTCAGTGGAGTTTACCCATTTGAGCAGGAAGCTGCACATATCCTAAATGAGAGCCAACAGCTGACAGTGCAATGTGATCACACGTGCCAACCCTCTTATGTCCAACTCCATGTTAAAGACCAACTTCCAACGCTCAGTTCCAGACCCATCATAAAGCTCTCACAAAAATACTCTGGTGCATAAATAGTGCGCACCACTGCTAAAACCTGAAATCGTAATCTCTCCAAACATCCAAGAAGAAGCAGGTACTCACAGTTATTGGACTGGAAATCCGGGACAAACTGCTCGTCATCGGTAGCTTGAGCTGAGAGGGAGGAAAAGACATGCCGTTTAAGGACCCCTCTCATCAACTATCACACATCATTTGTATAATGTGGGATGCTCACCTTCAGCGATCCATATTTCTTGGAGCTGACTCAGGTCTTGGAATAGATCTGGAAGATGGTTTCACATTCATTTGTTAGAATGTGTGTGGGCGCAATTATTTGACATTTCACATGTAATTAATGACAACAAATGGCCTATATAAGACTGTCGGAGAAGCATGACCTATTAAAGAAATACCAAAGACCACGAGGGGCACTTGAAAGAACAGGGGAGGGGAAAAAAAATAATCCTATTAGCAAATTTATGAATATAATTTCTCCCCACATTGTTTGTATCCAGCAGACAGATGTTATCCTGGCACTCACAAGAAGTTAACTGCAGTTTCATAGTCAGTCTGAGTTTTATATGTACCTTCTGTGTCCTGAGCCAGCTCGGTGTCCATGAACTTCCTCTTCCTATCGCTGAGACACTTTGCTGCTTCCTGTGTGTGACATTTCTGCAGCAATGGGCAAAGGAATGAAACTCAGCACACATGCAGCAAGACAATAAAAAGATAAGAACATAAAACCATAATGTTTCAAACTCACACTCTCAGGGACCACAAAGGGAACCTGCTGATCATAAAAGGCCTCCATGTTGCAGGAGTCTTCACCCTGGGATGAGCAGTGAGGAAGTGATATACTTTGAACATACTGGAGTCATTAAGCAGAAATCCAAGTCTATCGTAGTCTATTTTTCCCCCTACAGGACTAGCCCCTCCATCCATACTACCATCATCCCTTTCACATGACTTGGCATGTTTGTTTACAGTGGCTATAAAAGCCCCGTTGTCACAGAAAGAATTATGCAATCTGCAGTACGCAAATCTGACATGAATAAACTGACGTGAAGCTGCGGGAGGAATCGCTCTTCAAAGGCTGATTTGAGGCAATGAAAAGAAAGCAGCTGAATAGTCAAATAAAACATGACGTCTTTTCCTTTGGCTGTGCCGTGCCAACTTTAATGACGTACAGAGAAGCATATGTACAAAGAATGACAATGCTATGTTTGAAAAGACAGGAATTAAAATGGTTTGATGCTTTGCTTGCCAAGAGATAGGATTAAAGAAGAAACATTTAAAAAAAAAAAAACAAACAAACTACTTGTTCAGCTAATAATGCCAATACCTAATCACATTGCTGCAACTGAGTGCATTTAGGCACAGTCAAGGTGACCAGCTGAAGTTCAAAGTGAGCATTAGAATGGGGAAGAAATGGAAGTTAGGTGGCTTTGAATGTGGCATGGTTGTTGGTGCGAGTATATCAGAAACTGCTGAACTGTTGGGTTTCCCCGCACAATCGCCTCTAGAGTTTACGAAGGCTGTTTATGCTAGAGATCAGAGGTGAATGACCAGACTGCTTCAATCTAATAAGGCAGAAACAAATAAATCAAATAACCACTTGGTACAACCAGAAGAGCATCTCTGAATGCACAACACCTCAAACCGTGAAGCAGACAGGCAACAGCAGCAGAAGACCACACCGAGTGACACTCCTGTCACCAGGAAACAGGCTAAAATTTGCACAGGCTAACCAATAATTAGACAAGGGGGGAGAAAGCTGCCCGATTTCTTCTGTGACATTCAGATGACGAAAGCATGGATCCAACCACCTGTAACTGGTTGCAGTGCTGCAGTTTGTGCCAGCTGGGCATTGTTAAATGCCACACTTTACCTGAGCTTTATTGCTGGCCATACCCATCCCATTATGACCGTAGTGTACCCATCCAGCAGAACAACACAACGTCATAAAGCTCAGATCACCTCAAACTGGTTTCTTGGTGTACCTAAAGTAGCCGATAAACGTATATATGCGATAAAGATATGGGACATTATTTTAACAATGTTTTGCACCTCTTAACTACACCAGATTTCAAAGCTTTGTAAATTTCTACATTTTTAATGTTTCTTCAAACAAACAAAAAACAAAAAAACAAAAAAAAATGGGTTATTGACCTGGCTCAAACTGCTCAAGAGTCCAACTAAAGCTCGTGAAATACGGGACAAAAGTAAACAGCGAAAAAACTATTTCAAGAGATGAAAAGGTCAGCCCCCGACGTTGCGTAACGTTTTGTCTAGTCTTCGGTTAAAGTAACCTCTACAAACGATTTAGTGTGTGAGTGTGAGTGTGTGAGTGTGTCACTCGGCTTTGCTTCAGTGACTACAAACGCCACCGAGGAGAAATCACGCCAACTAACTCCGCTAACGTTAGCAACAAATCCTCGCTTAAAGTGAAAGATTTGTGAATGGAGTTTCGCGTGACGCTCGTTGAGTCCTCCTTGTTTTTCTCAATGAAGTGAAACACGATACTGGCTGAGGCAGGAGGAGGAGGGACACCCGCTCACCATTGAGAAATTTCGCCACAGACAAACAGTGAAGGATTCCCGGCGCCAACAAGCTGAAAAAAAAAGGCTGCTGCAGACGGAAATGCCGCACTGCAGGCAGGCAGACGGTCGCGGGGAATAAACGCAGCGCTGAGTTAGATTTTTAAGAAAATGGCGTTAGCCTCTGAACGCCTATGTGCTCCCCTCGGAGCCTGTAGCAAAGAAAAAAAACCCCGCGACCATGCATCTGGTGTTTATGTAATTAAAGGCAAGCAGGCGCCAGCTTTTACTAAAGCGGTAAGATAAAAACAAAAAGAAGAAGACTCACTCGGTAAGTGAAGTTTCTTGGCAGTGTGAAAACAGAACTCGTCGCAGATTTCCTCCCCTACATCCCATGCAGCACCTCGATTAATCACTCGGCTGTGGATTTTTCTCAATGAAGGACTCTGATAGCTGGGGCTAAAACGAGCGATCTCCTGCCCTGCCATTGGCTGGAACTCAGAGTCAGTCAGAAGGTGAGCCAATCGTCATCGAGGCTGCTCTGTGGCCCGGCCCCCTCTGTTTTTTATGAATGGCTGCGTTTCATTCATGAAACCAGGACTGTCTTAAAGTGCCAGCGCTGCAATTAAGGTCTTATAAAGTAAACAGGTAAATAAATAACCAAATTCAAGGTCATCTGTAACTTCTACACGGGAACAATAATGATGAAAATAGCACTAAAAGCATGCCTTTGCTGGTTTATTATATAGCCTACTGATTTCAACTAAATCAGGCGTGTTAAACATAATGCCTGGCAGCTTTAGAAAATTTGAAGCAGGGCATATATGCACACACACACACACACACACACACACACACACACACACACACACATATTTAAGATAAGATAAGATAAGATAAGATAGAACTTTATTAATCCCTCGGGTGGGTTCCTCTGGGAAATTCGATTTCCAAAAAAGCACAGCACCGACAGAAGTTACAGAGTTACAGAATATATATATATATATATAACACACACACAACACACACATATATAAATACAGAGACAATATAAATAAAATATACAAGGGGATAAATAGAATAAATAGGAATAAAAAATAAAAATACAAGTGAATTGCACATTTCAAGTATTGAGTCTATTGCACTGTTGACTATTTACAAAAAGTATTGCACAAGGTATTGCACAGTGAGGTGAAGAGGCACTACAGCTTAGTTGTTCCCCCCTCCTTTGTCCTCCTGTCTCCCCTCCCTCTCCCCTCCAGAGAGGAGTTAAACAGTCTGATGGCGTGTGGGACAAAGGAGTTTTTAAGTCTGTTAGTTCTTGTCTTGGGGAGAAGCAACCTGTCACTGAACAGACTCTTCTGGTTGTTAATGGCCGTGTGCAGAGGATGCCCAGCATTGTCATAATGTCCACAGTTTCTTTAATGTCCTTTTCTCTGCCACTGTCACCAGAGTGTCCAGCTTCATGCCGACCACAGAGCTAGCCTTCCTGATCAGTTTCTCCAGCCTGGATGAGTCCTTCTTTGCTGTGCTGCTCCCCCAGCACACCACAGCATAGAAAAGTACTCCAGCAACCACCGACTGGTAAAACATCCTCAGGAGCTTCCTGCAGATGTTAAAAGACCTCAGCCTCCTGAGGAAGTACAGTCGGCTTTGGGCTTTTTTATACAGGTGCTCTGTGTTGCATGACCAGTCCAGTTTATTGTCCACCCACAGCCCGAGGTACTTGTACTTGTTGACCACCTCCACCTCCTCCCCCTCTATCTGAACCGGCAGTGGACCTTCTCTGGACCTCCCGAAGTCCACAACCAGTTCCTTAGTCTTTGAGGTGTTGAGTTGCAGGTGGTTTGTGTGACTCCATGCGACAAAGTTCCTCACCAGACTTCTGTACTCCTCTTCCTGATCATCCCAGATACACCCCATGATGGCTGTGTCATCTGCAAACTTCTGAATATGGCATAATTCAGAGATAAAGAGATCTTTATCTTTAGACCATGCATGCTGCACCAAAGTAATAATGTAATGTAATGTATTTAATTCTACACTATTTTTTCACAATTTAAGCCCAAAGAGTTACGCTGACAAATTTTCTTTCACTGACTACAACATCATTTCATTATCAAGTAGAAAAACTGCTGAAATTGCATTTAAAATGAGTGTGACACCCGAACTAGGTTATATTCATGAGATCATCTTTCCTGCCACAGATCATAATAAACACTATAGCAAGAAGAGAGAGAAATACTTGCCATGTAATAATAATTGATTTCCTTAATTTTATTGTTCTCTTATGATGTTACAATTGGAACTACAACGACAACCACCACTGAGTAGATCATATATTTAGTGTTACTGTTATTAAACCTTACAGTCAATTACAAGGGTTTTTTGGGGGGGGAAGTTGCATATGTAATAATTTAACAAAAAAAGTCAAAGAAATAATAAAAAATGTGTCTCTTAGCTTCAGCCTGGAATAAGATGAACCAATGTTATACTCACTATAAAGGTGAGCACAGGCACAGGGGAGCATCATCAGGTTATCAGACTAACAGTCGTTTTACAATAAGACCCTAAAAGGCTTTATAGCTTTGTTGGTTCACAGCAAGTACAGTAGGTTCTATCTCCCAGCCTCATTATCATCCCATTCTGTGTGGAGACGGCACAAACTCCATGTGGTTATGTGGGTTTCCTCCCAGTACTCCGGATTCTCCTAAAAATCAGCATTTTAGGTTAACTAGTGATTGTAAATCGTCCATAGGTGTGAATGCAAGATAGATAAAGCACTTGAACATGTATGAAAAGGTTAAATCTGGCTTTGAGGGCCATTAACCCTAGAAAAGCTTCAAATCTTTGTTACTTAGAGCATTTCTTACTCAGGACTGTGGAATACTGAAAACTGTACCCAACCCTAATGCAGTTCTTTCACATGTTCCTCCTCAGCTACCTGTATTGCCCCAGTTACAGTTTATTTCTTTTTTGAAGGCACATCCATCAGTTTTTGGAAGCTACCACAGAATATGTGTTTTTGTGGGGATAAGACTTCAAAAAGACTCCCGTGACCTGGACTGCATGTAACACTGAGGATATTTAAGTAGTCCTGTAAAAACTGGGAAACTGTCAAATGTTCGACGGGTTTAATCCAGCATCGCACATGACTGTTTGAAGAGTATTCATCTCAGTGGGTGGCAGAGCCCTTGCTGCACTTTTAATTCTACTCTGATCTCATTCCACTCCATTACCTGCTGCTGCAGAGTGATCACCCAAAGAAATTCCACATGATTACAGGGTAAATCCCCTCATACAGTACCTCCACAATAACAGGTGGCTCTTTACAATGCTTGGAAAGCTACAACATTGCAAACCCTGCAGTTATCAACATGTTGCTCTAAACAAATACAGTGTTCCTGTCTACCTAGGAGAAAAATCAGTGCATATTACTAAGGTGTTTGTGCATTTTTCTGCTTAAAGTTCTGCAGACTGCATCACCCACTGAATATAGATTTAGTAATTCTTTTATTCCCCTGTGCTCTTTTTGTCCCAAATATATTATGTATTTATTAAAAAGGAACTTGACAGAACTGATGACATAAAACCGACTTTACAATTAATGGATCCAAACAACAGGAAGGAAAGAGCAGCTGTTCAGCGTTAAAGGGTTAATGTTGATCTGCTAGCAGTGAAAATGCGTGTAAATGTTTATTTTATGGCTTCGTACTGACTGACCTCTTCAGGTGGATTTTTTTTTTTTGCAGGGCTGCGCCGACTGTTTGCATTCGACTTAGAAAATGCTCGATCAGCGCGAGGAGATGCCAGAACGGATCTGTGCGTGTGATAAAAGTTCTAGTTCAAACATCAGCTGAGCTCAGCAGCTCTGTTACTGATTTGCAGTGTCTCCTGTTTGCTCGGCCACCGCACGTCTACGACTGTGCACAATATCACATCACAGATTTTTTTTTAAATTTATTCTTCCGTTCTGGCAGATCAACAAGCGTGATATAGTTGAACATATCCTGGAACAGGAAATTACACACTGCAGTCTTAAAGCTTCTTATCAAATGTTCCAGTTGTGTGTTGATGTCTTTTTTCCCTTTTTATCTTTTTATCTGTATATTTATTAGGGAAACAGAAGTTGTCACATATGATAAATTATCACCCCATTTTGACCTACAGCAACGGGTAAGTATTGTAAGTAAAATTACACCCGTATAATAATTATTGTTTTGACTAGCTCTAAATATGGGATCAGTTACTTCTCAGGGATTATGCTGATTTACAATATTTAGTCAATTTTACATAAACAGATCACAAGGCAAAATATCAGGATTAAAAAAGACAGAGATGTATGGATATTCTTTTTTTTTTTTTTTTTTTTTTTTTTTACTAAATCGCACAGTTTTAAAGCTTTTTTACTACACTTATTTCCTGTCATGTGAAATGCAGTTGTTAAACCACTGGGTGGCTCTCATGCCTACATCCTTTAGTCCTCATAGAGTGATAAATTACCTCAGCTCTCATAGAACCAGAGATCTTAGATCACATTGTTTTTCCCTGCATAGTTTTGTGCTCCTCCTAAACTTTCTAACGTTTGCACACAAACCCCTAAAAGCCAGCTGCTCTGCACTGACCACTTATTAGCAGCTCTCAGCTCAGATTCACCTTTGACACCATTGACTTTGCACTTTAATAATAAATTAATTCACAGATTACAAATTCAAAGACAACCCCGCTTCTCAAAAGGTCAGGACACTGTAAAGTGTAAATAAAATAAAAATGTAATGATGTGTAAGTCATGTAAACCCATCTTTTAATTACAGTTGAAAAGAAAATAACACACTGAAATTGAGACATTGTATAATTTTAAGAGCAATATTAGCTCGTTTTGAGTTGGATGTGATCTGAATGGAGCAAATGTTGATCTAAAATCTGTGTATGCTGGTTAAGGTGTCTTTCCAGATGTGCAAGCTGCCAGTTCCACAGGCACTCATGTACCTCCATACCACCAGAGACACAAACTTCTGACCTGAGCACTGATAACAAGGCAAATGGTTCCTTTAGTCTTTAGTCCAGAGTACACAGATTCCATTTTTTCCAAAAAGAATTTCAAGTGCTGATTCATCTGTCCACAGAACAGTTTTCCACTTTCTTTTAGTCAATTTTAAACAAGCTTTGGTTCAGAGAAGACGGCAGTGTTTCTGGATCATGTTTGTGGCTTCTTTTTTGCATCATACAACCTCAACCTGCATTTGTGGATGCCACAGTGAACTGTGTTCAAAGACAGTGATAAGGAAGTGTTCCTGAGGCCATACCCAATCATGTTCCTGAGCTGTTGTCAATTAGCCTAATTAGTTGGTATTATAATTAGTTGTTAATTATAATACAATTACAAAACACAAGAAACAATTTAGCTTTGTTTCTTGTGTTTGTTTATTTTTTTATTTAAAAAAATGTTTTAATCGTCATCATGTACATATGCTGATGTTAATGAATGGATTTAGACACAAGCTCATTTCTCCAGAAAGTCAAAGGTCAGAAAGTCCATAAAAGGCTGAAAACACATTGTGAAAAAGAATGAAAAATACAGATTGGAGAGGGACAAACTGTCCAAACCCTAAACCTACCTGGCAACCCTAAAGGTATCGTTTAATTATTATTAAAAGATAATAATTAAACTATAAAGTATAAGTAAATTATTCACTATTATTAGAGCCTGTTACGGCCCTGGCCATGTGTCTTGGTGGCTGTTTCTTGTCCTGTCTGTGCCTTTAAGTCTCTGCAGGTCCCTGATTGGATAAGCTGACGGCTGCTGATTGGTCCCCTGATCATGTGGTTGCTTTCAAAATCCCTCACCAGCAGTTGTCTCGGGGCAGCCACTGACAGCAGCAGCAGACCTGACCCTGGCTTCCAAAACCTGTGACATTTATGTTTGAGATTCTCGTGACTTACCGAGCTTTGTATATAGTGTGTACATTAGTTTTCACTTGTAAATAGCACTGAAACAGAAGGGGTGAGCTGCCTTATTATTTTTCCTTGTACTGTTTTTAGATAGCACCTCCTCACCTGACTTAGCTTGTTTTGTTTGTTATTTTGGCCTTTGTTCACCCCGGAGCTTCATTTTCAGTGTAGACAAATAAACCACCGTTCACTAAGAAATTGGTTTTTCTGTGTATGGTTTTGGGGCCCGGGGCGGGGTCACTTCCTTTTTTAACTCTTATGTTACGTCCCTGTACCCCTAGACGGGCGTAACAGAGCCATTAATGCAAACCATTACCAGTGTTGGATTAGAGCACTGTATCAAATGTAAAGGCACTACTTTGAGCCCAGGTCAGGCAGATGTTGATGAAGTTAAATAAATCGTAAAATCAGCATCTTGCATCATATCCACAGTACTGTGTATCAGCGAACTACCATAGCTGTCTGACATGGTGACAGTTTTTTGCTGTTGTTGTCTGGGCACCTGCTGGGCAGTGGATATTGTTGCTCTGCTGTATTATTTCTGCCACCTCT